TTTCATACAGCCTACCCGGACAAGCCTGGCCCTTTCGATGAGGGGGGGCCTGAGGGGGGGGATAGTGTCATGCCTGCCCTCGCTGATGCCCCTGAGGAGGCACCTGCCAGCCAGGAGCCTGTGGACTTACAGGCTCCTGAGGACAGTACTGCAGCAGAAAGGCAAAGACTGGATCCTGTAGCTGAAAGCTACCTAAGTGGTGAGGAGGATCAAGCCTCTCAGGGAACACCTGCAAGGGATCAGTCTCTGCTGCAGCCCAGTAATTCATCATCAGACTCGCCTCCACCTGTAACCAGGCTCAGGAATGTAAGAAGACAACAGCTGAGAGAGCGAAGGCAGAATGCACGCATGCGTGCCAGAAGATCTCTTAGCCCTGATTACTGACAGGATCCTGTCCTCACTCCTGGCTAGCTAATGAGTTGATTAGCTAGCACTGTATATATGCAAGTCTGTTGCCAGCAGTCATTTGTGCTGGCAAACGTCGTTTGTTCAGGACCTGAATCCTTGCATCTCTGCTCCAGACCTTGTGGAATTCTTCTCGGCTTGATCCTCGGCTTTTGACCTTTGGCTTTGTTGACCCTGCGTTCATCTCTGACTCCTCTGGTATTGTTGTGATTTATGGACTTGAAACTTTGGTATGTCTGACCCTGCTTTTGGACTGTGATTTAAACCTGCTTGAACCTTGCTACCTGATTTGCCCGGCTTGACCTCGGACTGTTCCTGGACTTTGGCTTACTTGCGTCACGCCCCCTGGTCCTGCCGTGACAGACTGCTGCCTCAGACTATCAGACTCCAATAGACCATTGGGCTGACTTGGCAGAAAGCAGTTTTGAGTCAGCCTTTCCACGGCTCTGTTGAACTAAGAATTATCTTATTCTGACTAGCAGCAACTCTCCAGCACAGAGGTGTCGAATTCATTTGTCATGACAGCTGAATCTGACATAAATGTCACTTTGTCAGGCCAGGCTGTGTGTGCCATAAAATGTAACATGAGGTACCGGAGATAAAATGTAGCATGAGGTACCGGAGATGATTTCAGATGCTGAATGGCAGTAGCAGGTGTGATTGGATTAGGTATGATATGCAGAGGCGTAGTAGGCATGGAGATATCAGCATTGGTAATTAGACAGGAAATCTGGGTCTCAATTTGGTCCAGGAGGATTCAGTCCAGGAGGATACAAAGAATAAATAGAAATAAGTCTGAAGAAGTGAGCAGTGACTCACAAAAGCTCATACCCTACCACCAATTTTGTTAATCTTTAACGTACTACTGGACTCTTACTCTTTCTACTGCTATTAGAAACCACAACATTCAATAACCAGTGGGTGAACATTTTAACCTTCCAGGACATTCAGTTGCTGACCTAAGAGTAGCAGTTCTCTTACAAAGGAATTTCAAAGGGAGATTAGAAAGACTGCTGAATTGCAAGCTCAAGACAATGCATCCTCCTGGGCTGAATTGAGCTAGGTTTCTTCTCTCATTACCAATGCCCGCTATTGTCATTTGGCGTCTGAAATCACTTCACTCTCCAAGATATAAGGACAGATGGACTCACATTCTAGCTGTATCTGAAGAAGTGAGCAGTGATTCATGAAAGATCATGCCCTGCCACAAATTTTGTTAAGGTGCTACTGAACTCTTGCTCCCATCCACTAATAATACCTGGAATAAAACTTTGTTGGTCTTAAAGGTGCTATGGGCCTCTACCTCTCTCCCTCCTTCTCTTGCTCCCTTCAACTAATAAAGATTACAAGCTGTGCTGCTAGGTGTCCCCCCCCCCATCCGTTAGAACTGGAAAGGGGATCTCTCTCTCTATTATGCTCTTTCACTCCACCTCCCTCCTTCCTTCTCTCCATCTCTCTCTCGAAGTGTGCTTGGACACAAAAGCTTATACCTGGAATAAAACTTTGTTGGTCTTAAAGGTACCACAGGACTCCGTCTCTCCCTGGCTCTTTCCCTCCCCCTCCCTTCCTCCCCAAAGGTGGAGGAGGAGGGGGAGGAGCACTCAGCCAATTGTGGGAAGGGAGGCTTGGCTTTCTTTTTCTCCTCTGCAAAGCTGCAATGCACGAAGCAGACAAGAGCCAGTTGCTTGCAGGCTGGATAGGAGCCCCGCAGGGGCCATTTCTGTCCCATGGGGCATATGTTTGACATCTCTTCTGAGGAGCTTACAATTTAAATTTCAGGGAGGGAGACAAAAGGAGAGGAACTGAAGAGTGGGGGGGGGAGATAGGGTAATAGGAAATCTTGCAATGGAGTCCTGTCGGTTGTCAAAAAAAATTGTACTGCATTTGGCATCAGGTAGAATGCAATGACAGCAGCTTTTTAGCTCTCCGCATGGTTTGTCATGGGGAAATGAACTTTGTTGCCAGCAGATTCAGAACAAAGTACTTTCCCCACACAATATATAATGAATGGTGACTAAATGGATCCTCTGGTTTAGAGGCAGTGCGCTTGAATACTAGTTGCTAGGGGGGGAAGTAATGGATGTTATATGAAAGAGCCAGTCCCCAAAATTAAATTTACTGAATGAGAATTTACCCTATGAGAATGAACTGGTTTCAAAAGAATCTTTTATCTCAACTGTTTATAGCAGTGAGAATGAGGATGGAACAGAAACAGAAAGACTATTTGATGCCATCTCTGGTTGAACAAAGTTTGGCACATATGGATAATGTGTAAGATATCTCAAAAGGATGGTCCATGGCAAAATTTGCTGGTACTTGGCAATTGTTTGCATAGTGCTGGAACAATCATAAAGGTTATCAAGATGTGCAGCAACAGATGTTGGAATTTGACAGTAAGGTGCTTTTCTTTTGGAAGATGTGAAAATAAGGCAAAGTATGTATATGTTTAAGTGAAGTTGTATATTAGAAATGAAAAAAAAGAGCCAATCTGGCATAGCAGTTAGTTTTGGACTAGGATCCAGGAGCCCCAGGTTCTAATCCCTGCTCTGCCATGGAAACCAGCTTGGTGACCCTGGGCCAGTCACACACACTCTGTCTAACCTGGAAATGGGGACAATGTTGTAACCTTTTCATACAACCCGTATGGGAGGAAAAGGGGAGTATCAATTAAGAAAATAAACAGCAAACAAATGAAACATGGGTTACCTAAAATGCATCATGAAGGAAACAGAACCTTTATGTTCACAGACACTATACCTCAATGCTAATTTGCTAGGGGGAAAGCAGTGGGGAAAGCTGGTGCACTACACTCTCTCATCCTCCCCTCCCTCCGGCACCGCCAAATTGGGCGAGCTGGGGAATGCGCCGTTGGCCCTTCAAAACAGGCTGAGTTACGTTGAAGGTGTAATTTTTGACCACACCGAGACAAAACCATACCAGCTCTCACTCCCCCATCAGTCGACGCTTCCGGCCAGCCAACTGCCTTTTGTTCAGCATCTGCAGAGGGGGAGAAAGCCTGCCCGCAGGGAGGGAGGGATATAAACACAAATAATAAATCATAAATCAATAAATGTTGCTCTCCTCCGATCGCCTGCTTAAATGAGCTCGCGGCTGGGACGAAAAAAAGGACACTTCCCCAAGGACGCTCATTCATCCCTCGGGAACAAGGTAACATGGACGCACGTGTGCGAACGCCGTCCCCGGTGAACTCGGCTGACTTGATAAGGAGAGCCAAAAACTTTCTGTCCCTTTCCCGGCCGCTTTAAGATCCAGCCAAAAGGCGTGCAGCCGACTCTCCCAGGGTCAATATTTGCATGGCCACTCCCATGCTTCCTGACGGGAGGGGCCAGGAGACGACGGAGGACCATAGAAGCTAGGTGGGGAGCTCGAGCCGCTCGGCGCTTCCCCTTTAAGAGCAGAACCTCCGGTTTCGTTCCTCTCCCTGAAAAATGTATCAAATCCGGTGGGCGGGGACGAGCGGGTGTTACAGCGGCCAATCAGAGCTCCTGGTTTTCCGCGGGAGATCCGAATTTCGCGGCACGTAGTTTGGCGCTTAAAAAAAAAAAAGCGAGAGAAGGAAGAACGGAAAGAGAAAGGGCTGGGCAGCCATCGGGTCCTCTCTTGGCCCAATCCGGATCCATCCTTGCTCCAGCCAGCCCTGGTGCTGGCCAGAAATCTTGCAGCGGGTCAGCCGGGAGCCCCAAGAAGAAGCAGGCACCAGCATTACAAGGCGGAGAGCTCTAGAAAAGGCACCAGGGCCCCGATAGGATCCAAGGCCCGATCTGGGTGCTCGGAGCCTCCAGGGGTGGTTCTTCCGAACCCTTCCTCCCTGGGGATCTAGGGCCAAGGACCTGGAGCAGGGCCGGGTTTGAGATTTCGCGGGGTGGGGGCTTTTACCCACCCGGCTTTTGTCTGCAATCCTCCGGCTGCCGCTTCCCAGCCACAAAAGCTAGGGGGAGGGGATGGTTTAAGGCGACTGGTAAAGCTTGCCTCCCAGCTCCGGCACATAATTAATTTGGGGCGGGGGAAACCTTTGAAATATTTGCAACAACAAAAAAAAAGAGTTGGTGCTCCGGTGACTTTTAAGAGACCCTGGCCCCCCCCCCCCCTTGCTGTTCTTTTCTTTGAATGAACGGTAGCAATTAAGCCGCTTGGGAGAAAAAACTGGGCTCTGGCAGTCCTATGGCTCCCTCATTCCGGAAAAAAAAGGACTTCGGAAACTTTCTTAGATGAAAAGAGGGACGGGGCTGTGTGCGAGCAACCCCCCCCCCCCCCATTCGCTTTTCCTTTTTAGAATTAGGCGTTTAAAGAGAAATTGCATTGGGGGTTGAGTCCTCCGTTCACGCCTATGGCAGCTTTAAATGGCTAAGAACGGGTTTCCCAGTCTACCTCTCAAGAACAATCCCAAATTGGTTTTGAAGGCCTCTGCCCCGTCCTGTGTCTTGCACCCTTTTTAACCCTTGCCATGCTGAGAATCCCCAAAGTAGGGCCTTCTGCCCCAGGAAGAGGGGGTCCCTCCATTGCTCCAACGCCTCAGCAGAAGAAAGCCATACCCGTGATCACCTCTGCTGATCTGGCAGCCTCTAACCTTAGTAGTCCTCAGATGCGGGCCCTCCCGGCTACCTATTTCACTCAGGTGTACCCCCAGACTGCTGTGGTAGCCCCATTGCCAAGGGGCAGTTGCTTGTATGCTACCCCCCATGGACCTGAAATCAAAACCATGCGATCTGCCTCCACTGGAAAATTACCGGTAATATGTTTCATTCCCTTCTGTTAACCTCCCCCCCCCTCCTTCCATCAGCTTGTTGCCTGCTCAAACTATTATGGTTCCTTTACCATATGTTTTATTGTGTCTTGGATTTTTTGTGGTGCGTGGTTGTATCTGGAGGTGCAAATTCCAGGTAATACCTTCCTAATAGAACTGTGATTATAGGAAGAGTATAGCATGCATAGTGTTTGTGTGTATAGATGAATCTCAATACACTGGTATGTGCAATTCTCAACTTCCCTGTACTTTTAGCCTGCAAAGCTGCTTCCTTTTTTTTTTTTTTTTAAATTGCAACAATGCTTACTGAACATCAAAAGAAATGCCATCTGCAGAGGGAAAAAAGTACAAGGGAAGACCTTAACTCTATATAGGAAAGGGAAAGAATTTTCAGGCTGTGTGATCCTCTGTTGCAGTGGAGTTTCCCCTGGATTTATACCTTGGGGAGAAGTGAATACCATCTTCTTGGTCCAACCCAGTCTTTCTCCCCTCCCCTCCCCCCCCCCAAATCCTGATTTGTGTTGGCAGAGCCATATCTGATGCAGTAGCTTAGGTGTGTGTCTCAGCACACCTAGGTCTCACGTCTCTTCGGGAAGAGGGTGTTTATTTAAAAGTGGTGATTGGGATGTTCTGAAATGCAGGGATTCAGTGCTGCTATGATTAGCAAGATGCAAGGACTGAGAGTTCCAACTCTGTGCTAGTTGAGAGTTATTTATCTGGCTTTGTTTACCAAACTCTGCCTCCACATTTAAAATTAGAACAGTATCTATGAAAATACCCAGTCAAACGATGAGTTCCTGTAAAATTGCTTACTCAGGCAGTGACTGTCCAGGTTCTCAAGCAGAGGGACTCTTCCCGACAGCTGGTTCCTTGGATCCTTTGTGGTGGCAGGAATTGCAGCAACTTGAGACCACAGCATGTGCTCCACCACTTAACTACAGCTCCCTGCTATAACTTTACTATGGTACCTGGGAAAGTTTCCTTTTAGGCTAAATTCTTTCAATGAGGAGGCATAACTCATGTTGTGATGTGACAGGCCACTGTCACTGAGGGTGGCTAATTGTCTCTTTTGTGAATGTGTGAAAAATCCTGCCACACCTCATGCAGACGTGGGCCAGAGTTGCCCAGCAGAGGCCAGTTTGAAGGAGGCATGAAAGGCATCTTCCTCTTTGAATGTGCCTTTTGGATTTACAGGGTCCTTTAAGATAATAAAATAACATAGTCCTTATGGTGCACAATTGTGAGCTGCTGTTGCAATCTGCAGTGAGGGCATCCAGAGGACTGGGCACTCAGTGCCTCTCTCGCAATTAGAAAAGGTTTTGCAATTGGTGTTGCAGAACTGCTACCACAATATCTGTCAAGTGGATGGCCTCTGTGTTGTTGCTGTTGGGTGTAAACTAGCCCTATGCATTTGCCTGACAGAAGGAACAAGAAAGGTAGACTATAAATTAAGTAAATAAATAATCTGGTATATTACTCTTGCATGTGATTCAGATTCTTTTGACATACTATTGGAGGGGGGGGAGAGACTTTAGGACTAGGTTGTACCAGTTCACATTCTGATTTCCCTGCAAAGAAGATGTATCATGTCTCTGTTTGTGAGGTCTGAAATTGAAAACATATTTTCAGTTTTGGTGATCAGCTATGGAATACATGAACTAGAAGTAGCTCTGAGCATGTGTAGAGTGCTCACCCTGAATTACCACAGCCACTCTCCACCTAGGGAGAAACTTTTAAGGGAGAGAACTCTTCAGCCAGGCTATCAAAAATAATGCAATGACTGGAAGGGTAAACTCCGTATTAGCAACTCTGTGTTTGCATAGACTTGGGAAAAAGGCATGGGCCTCTTGCACACTAGCAGTTGCAGTCTGTACAGCTATCATTCAGTGTCTGGAGTATGTATGTATCTAGACTCAGAAGCTGGTTGTTACTTAGAGCTGTTCTATGTGTTATGCAGGTTCGGTGATAAAATTATGGACTGTAGCACTTTAGATTGTAGATGGGGAAGGCTGTAATTTTTAATGTCCACCCCCAACAGTGAAAGGGCTTGCACATGCTGTAACCTAGCACATCAGTTTTGCAACGTTAAGGGCTTTTTAATGCAGGGGAACAATTAAAAAAGAAAAAATTTATCTACACCTGCAATTTAAAGTTGGTGCAGTGCAGTATTCTACTACTTCATTCTGTATAATGTATAAAATGACTTTCATTTCTCACGTGGTGGGAAAACATTATTCTCTTTCCTGCCTCCTCCCCTTCACCCTTGTAGCACATGTGATGCTGGACACTGTGTGGACTGGGATTCTGGAAGTGTTGCAGGCAATGCTCTTTCTAAGCTGTGGAGTCTTGTGAGCAAAAATTCTACTTTGTGAGCTACTGACATTAAAGTTGTGAGCAAGTGATTTGGCTACTGTATAGATTAGTTTGCTCTGGAGCCATCAAGAAAAAAGACAAAAATGTGTGAGCCAGAAGCTAAAAAACTGTGAGCTAGCTCACACTAACTCAGCTTACAGGGAACACTGGTTGCAGGCACCACTTTGACCAGTTCTCATGTCCTCAGTAGTGGCAAGCAGTGTAGCTCCTTCCCATGCCACCTGTGCACTGAATATTCAGAGTGAGTACTTGTTGCTGTACCAACCAAATGAAGATGCGAGTATTATGCTTGCTTTTGTGTATGGTGTTAAAATAAAGTGATATGCGCAAAGCTACCTCTCCTGCAGCAGTTTCAGAGATTCCTTCCTTTTGTGAGGCAAACGTGTACACCTTTGCTGTTAATGGATTGAGAGAGGATCCTATCAAAGGAAACCAAGCATAGTAGGCATGAGTGGTGCAGGATCTTTTGAATAAACCCTGAGAACAGGTCCTGTGATACAGGTGAGTAAATCAACAAAGAGGGAAGGGGAGAGAGAGAGGTTTAAGTTCTGGCATTCTGATCTGATCTTCAAGGCAGTATTCTCTGCTCATTCTGTAGGAGGAGAAGGAGTGGGTGCTGTGCGTTAGAGCTTTGGTGTCCAGTGTGCTAGGGCAGTAGTTTCCATACGATTGTGATACTTAGTTGGTAAGTAAGGCACCGGTACCCAAAGGGAGCTGGTTGCTACCACTGGTAGAGCTGCTTTGCCTGTTCCTATACCAGTCTAAGTCTCTGCCACTGTACCCTGCACCATATATTGTCTGGTAATGTTACAGGTAATCTCAGTGCATCAAGTCATGATGTAATGCTGAACTGTGGTTTGGTGCTACAAGAATGAGCTTCAAGCTTGAATGTTCATCTTCTCTGAACATTCTGTGATTCCTCCCATTCCTTCTTGGTTTGTTGTTTCAATCAAACTGAAATAAGCTGTTCTCACCCATGTTGGTCCAACAGAAAAAAATCCAAAAACCCAGAATGCAGTCCATTTTATCAGAACCCACCAAATAACACAATATGGTGTGAATTTCCAGAACTCTTCTTCAAGCTGGATGTTACAAGAAAAACAGCCTTATTTTGGTGTCATTTAAAGGTAAAGGTTCCCTTGCTCGAAAGCCAGTCGAATCCGACTCTAGGGTTGCGGTGCTCATCTCCGTTTCAAAGCCAAAGAGCCAGCGCTGTCCGAAGACATTTCCATGGCCATGTGGCCGGCATGACTAAACACCAAGGCGCATAGAACGCTGTTACCCTCCCACCGAAGTGGTACCTATTTATCTACTTGCAATTTCTTGCTTTCAAACTGCTAGGTTGGCAGGAGCTGGAACTAGAGATGGGAGCTCACTCCATCATGCGGCATCCGGGTCTCGAACTGCTGAACTACTGACCTTCCACAGCCTGCAGTTCAGTGTCTTAACCACTTATGTGACTGGGTTCATCCAAGTGGAGCAACCCAGAGTTGGGAATCATGGGCTGCTTGTACCAAAGTTTCTCTGCTTTTGTTTGAATGGGGGGGGGGGATATATACCATCATTGCCTAATTATCCTCTTTCCAGGTTTTCCCCATTGTGAGTATGCTCTTTCTGAAGCCTGCTTTACTCCCATCTTTTTGGAAAGAATGCAGTCCAAGTGTGTCATCTCACTAGGTGGAAAGATGTGAGTCTTAGGTCTCATCCACATTAGAACCTTTTTCATGCTATAAGGCCCTCATGACCAACATTTTCTCCTCTGCCACTGGAAGGCTTTTTAAAAGATCGGTAACTGTTATACCACTATAGCAATTTCCAATTTTTTTAAAAAAAGCTTTTGAGGGGTGGCAGCAAGGAAAAGTGCTGTGACATGTGCTGGCAGCAGAATAGTGTGCAGAGAACCTTCTCGTGGAAGCTCTGTTGTGAATGCCTCTGCATTCATAGCAGTGTCAGGATCCACAGCAAAACAACGAAGTACACGCTTTCAAGAAGGTTTTACTTTTATTGAAAAGCTATAGATGCAGTAACATGAACACTGTTAGGAATGGTGGGTTACCTATGCGCATAATAGGATATAGGGCATTCGTATGCAAAACCCCCCCCCCCCACGTAGTACCCAATTAGATGGGCTCCCGCGCGCGGGCATTTGGCAGATAACTAACTGCTGCAGAAGCTGGGAAGGTAAGAAGCTTCCCACGGATTCCAGACACACCAACTCCTCCAGTGGCCTTGAGAGATATGCATTACAGCTCAGATGCAATTAAGCGCATGGGAAGGAATGCACAGCAGTTAGCAACATACACCACACTCATGGCAGCATAGCTGAAAAGCAGCAATGAAAGTAGTTTGAAGAATCCTCCGCATGTGGAAGAAGCCATGGTTTCCAATACTGAGTTTGTAGGCAAGCTGTGGTTTGTGCCACCAGGGGATGGCATTAATGGTATTCCAGGGCCAGCAGAAATATGGGCTCAAGGCTTGTTTGCAGAATGGGAAGCCATGGTCTGACACTAAAGCTTAACCAGACCTCGGTCTTTGAGTTAAAAAATGAGTTAGTGCAGTGGGTAGTACTTGATCGCCTAACCCAGCAGCTTTGAATTCATTGTGGAGAGCTG